GGCTGGTACACATTGTAGTCGCTCGCGAGCGACACCCACCCGATCGCGAACCCGAAGATGACGCCGATGAACGACAGGACGTTCGATGCTTCCGCTTGCCCGCTGCGGGAGAGCGCGTTCGTTAGAATGCGTTCGTTAGCTTCAATAGCGTGCAGAGAAAGAGACGGAAGGCGGCACGCACGTCCCCATGGGCACATTAACCAGATGCTTCGCCGCGCACCCGAGCAGGATGAAGAACGTGATCGCGGTCGGGATCCAGGACCACTTTTCGTAGATGTGCACGTACTTGTACCCGAGCATGCCGAGGGCGAGGGTTATTATCTGGTGTGGATGTCAGTGAGACGTTCTTCGGGGAAGCGAGCGCCATTCCGCGCGCGACGAGGAAGGACGACGGCGACCAAAAAGCGAATCAAAATCAACTCACAGCAACGATAACCACCCCCGCCGCGTCCGAGATCGTGTCGTTCGCGACGACGCGCAGCGTCTGCGCGGCTGCGATGGTGTTGATTGCGCTGTGGGGGAGGGGGTTAGTGAGTCATAATAAGAAGAGGATAGGAGGGGATAGTGGGGTAAGGTAAAGGTAAACAGGGTGAGGGCGAGGGCGAGGTGAGGGTGAGGGCGAGGGCGAGGGAGAGGGACGAGGGAGGACGAGGACGAGGGCGAGGGAATTGAGGACGAGGGAGGGTGAGGGCGGGGGGCGAGGATCAGGGAGGGCGAGGAGAGGAAGGGCGAGGGAGGGACTCGAGGGCGAGGGCGAGGGCGAGGGCGAGGGAGGGCGGGCGAGGGGAAGGGAGGGAATTGAGGGGAGGGCGAAGGCGAGGGTGAGGACGAGGATTTGAGGGCGAGGGCGAGGACGAGGGAGGGGAAGGGCGAGGGCGAAGGCAAGGGCGGGGGAAGGGCGAGGACGAGGGAGTCGAGGGGGAGGGAGAGGGAGGGAGAGGGAGGTGAGGGGATGAGTAAGGTAAAGGTAAACAGGGAGAGGGACTCGAGGTCGAGGGAGGGAATGGAGGGCGAGGGCGGGTGGGGGTGAAGGGGGGATAGTGAGGTAAAGGTAAACAGGGAGAGGGAGGGTGAGGACGGGGGAAGGGCGGGGCGAAGGCGAAGGCGAGGGCGACGGAAATGAGGGCTCGAGGGAAGGGAGGGGAGGGCGAAAGAGAGGGAATTGAGGGTGAGGGCGAGGGGCGAGGGTGAAGGCGAGGGCGAAGGCGAGGGTGAGGGACGGAGGGGGTGAGGGAGGGCGGGGGAGAGGAGGGGAGGGGATAGTAAGGAGAGGAGAGGAGGAGGATAAGCAAGGTAAACAGAAACAGGGTGAGGGAGGGCTCGAGGGCGAGGGAGGGGGAGGGCGGGCTCGTGCTCGGCTCAGGCTCGTGCTCGTGCACGAGCACGATCGAGGGCTCCATCCCATCAAGCCCACACACACTCAACGAGTAAACCCCCGTTTAAGCTCGAAGAGTCGAAGCCCTTCGACTCGACTCGACTCGACTCTCCCACCACCCCCCATCCCACCCCCCCAAAAAAACACCCCCTCAAAAAAAAACACACAAAAACCCACCTCCACCCAACACACGCAATACAGTTCAGCAGCGCGACGACCTTGGCGCCGTGCCACCCCCACGAGTAGCGCGCGCTCGTCATCTGGCGGAGGCCGAGCTTTGGGCCGAAGGTCGCCCTAGAGAGTGGGGAAAAAAAAAGGGGGGGGGTTAGTGGAGGGAAGAGGGGTATATGGGATATATGGGGAGGAGGAGGGGGGGAGTGGGGGACGAGCGTATATGAGCACATGTGGGAAGGGGAGGGGATATAAGAGGAAGGAGGAGGAGGAGGAATATGGGAGGAGGGAGGTGAGGCGCGCGCAGGAGGGACGGGACGAGGGTAAGTGAGGAGGGGGAGGGAAGGGAACGCGGCGGTGGCGGGAGGAGGGGGGGAGGGGGCAAGCACGAGGGGGGGAGCGACGGCGAAGGGGAAGGGCGAAGAGGGAGCGCGGGGGCGGAGTAGGTGTTCGCGAGGAGGTGAGGCGCGGAGGGGGAAGGGGGGAGGGATATGGAGGGATATGGAGGGGAAGGGCAAAGAGAGCAGAGGGAGGCGGCGGATGGATGCGCATGGGCGAAGAGGAGCGCGAGGGGAGGGAGGGAGAATGGGAGGAATGCGAGAGTAGGGGGAAGGGAGGAGGGAGGAGGGGAGGCGGAGGGGGGAGGAGGAGGAGATGTGGGTGGAGGGTGAGGGTGTACGAGACTAAAGAGAGGAGGAGAAGGGAGGGAGGGAGGGAAGGTAGGAGAGGTGAGGAGGCGCACGAAGGAAGGAGCACGGAGGGAGGAAGGGAAAAGGAAGGGAAAAAGCGCATGGGGGGAGGGTGTACGGGACTGGCGGCGACGCATGAGGTGAGGGAGTAGGGAGGAAGAGGAAGAGGAAGATGGAGGGAGAGGAAGGGAGGCGGGAGGCGGCGAGGAAGAGCACGAGGGGAGCGAGGGAGGGACGTTGGCTGGAGGAAAGAAAGGGGAGCCCGCGCGACGGGACGGGGCGGCGGGAGCGGGGACGGGATGATAGAACGCATCGTCGACGCGTGGGATAGTAGTTTATCGTACAACAGCGAAAAAAAAAACGCGAAAAAAAACACGAAAAAAGACAAAGGCAACGCACATATACGCGGGCAACACCGCCGTCGCGGCGTTGGTGAAGAAGATGGTGAGGAGGCTGTCGCCGAGGCCTGTGGGGGGCGGGGTGTTAGCGAGCGGTAGCGAGCGTCGGGCGTCGGGCGACAAAGAGAAGGAGGGGAAGGGGGGGGGGGGACGCGCACTCGGAGCCCGAGTCCGAGACGACACTAGGAGACGCTACTCGACGACACGGGACAGAGGCGCGCGAGACTAGGACGAAAACGCATGCGCGTGTCTCCACGCTCGACTGGACGGGGGTGGGCATGGACGAGGGGCGGGGGCGCCTTGACCCCCGCCGTCCGGCCTCCTCGCACCCCCACGCCCCGCCTTCACATCACATCACATCACATACAAACGCAAGACACCCCGCCCCGCCGCCGCATCTCCCTCCACGTCCCGTCCCCCGTTTCCCGTTTCCCGTGGCATTGGGAAGTGGGAAGTGGGAAGTGGAAGTGGGAAGTGGGAGGGGACGCAAGGAAGGTGAAAGGCGGGGCGCCTCTTCTCTTCTGGCACGCAAGCAAAGGCAAAGGGCAGAGGCACCCCGTATAAGCGCGGTGCGCAATTCGGGGGTGTAAACACCCCGTCCCCGTTCACGAACGGACGGACGGACGGACGGACGAAACACGTAAACGCCCTTCCTCCCCCTCCCGCCCCCCAAAAAGAATCCCGCCCTCCCCTCCTCCAAACTCCCTCCCCAGGAAAAGAGAAAGAAAAAAAAGAGAAAGAAACGGAGAAAGAGAAAGAAGAGAACAACGCACCCAACTCGAACAGCGCAGGCCCGAGGATGCCGATGCCGAAGGTGGAGAGGACGCAGTTCGCTGCGAGCCAGCTGGGGGCGGGATGTTAGCAAAAAGGAAAAAGAAGTGAGAAGGGGTAGGGATAGAGGGAGAGGGCGGGCACGCGCGACGCTCTCAGAGGACAACGCCCGCGGAACGCCGACCCCGCCGCGCAGGAGGGTACGCGACCGGTCGATGAACGCGACGCCCCACCCCGCACACGAAGACGTCGCGGAACCGCCCCGCACGCGCCCGCCTCAGCCGAGATAACAACCACGCACATGAACATATTCCCCCTCGGCACATCATTCCTTACCTCGCCGCCCTCCTCGCCGACATCGGGCACGCGCTGGATGCCGCGGGCCTCGATGCCGAGCTTGCGCTCGAGGGCGGCGGAGAGCAAGAGGGAGCGGCCCCAAAGGGAGGTGGGGTCGACGGGGGCGCGCGCAGCGTCGGGGTCGAGGACGTTGAGGGTGTCTGCGGGGACTTTCGTTAGCGGGGAGTAAAGAGGGAGGGGGGAGGAGGGAGGGGAGGGAGGGAAGAGGGAGGGCAGACGCACCGATGACCTCGACGGGCGCGTGGGGCTCGTCGCGGTGCTCCTGCAGCTTCTCGGGGTCGGACCCCGCGTACGATTTCTCTTCCACAGACATGATGCTCGTTCGTGTGGCGGCGGCGGCGGCGGGACGGTTCGTAATATTCACGCAGGAACCGCAAAGGGACGGGGCCTCCAAGCGATGGATGGCTTAGGAAAAAAGCAAGAAAGAACGCCGAGGAAGATATGTATACATCGCGGGGATAGATATGCGATATGCGAATCCACTCGTCGTCAATCAGATTGAGATTCAGATATCGATATCTCCAGCTGCAGTCCGCGCGGGAGCGCATGTGCTCCACTCACCCACTAATCCAGAATTTCACGATGGAATCCCAGCGAACCCGCAATCGCCGTCGGTGGTATGTGGGTCCCGCTCCTCCAGGGCAATCGCCCGTAGAACACTAGCCGCAGCAAGCCTAGCCCAGGGGAGACCGCGACGGTGCGCAAAAGATAGATAAGAACCCACACCACACCATGTGCTCCTTCAATCCTTGTACGTAACACACCACGTCACGTCGATCATCCTTCTTTGCATTCGTGGGCGCATGCATCCCTATGCATCCACGGGGCGGGAGAAGGCCGGCGTTTGTTTTCTTGCATCTCACACGTTCTGTGTGGTACAGTGGGAGACAGTGGGAGCGAGACGACGCCGACGCCGACGCCAGATGTCAACGGCCGCGGGAAACAAACAGTTCCAGTTCCAGCGCCAAGCCCTCCGAGGCGAGATAGGCTCCGCGTCGCAGATAGCGCTGTGGGATGCGCGGCATGCGCATGTGCATGGACCCACTTCCGCGTCGCACTCATGTCATCGGTCCGGGCCTACTGTATCCTCCCATCCTTCGTTCCTCCCATGCATCCAGGCATCCTTCCACCCGCTCTACCATCTACCGCCTCCGCTCCCTTCATTTCTTTTCTCCCTTCATTTCTCTTAGTATAATTTTAAGCTCACCTATCTGGGGTATGTATACACAAGAAGAGGGAGGCCTAGTAGCACATGGTGTGCATCTACTTCATTTAAATGACATTTCCACGCACTATGTGTAGAAGGTCCCCGTTCGACTCGGGGCTGGGCCATCCTGTGATGCGGGTGATATATATATTTTTTTTGGCTGATATTCAGCGGTTATTTTCTCCAGAGATGTACACTGTTTCATCCACACGTGGTGTAATCATTCCTTTTCAACATCTTTGTGTTGAGCCAGTTGGGAGAGAAATAGATTGGGCTCCACCTCACAACCTGCATTCAGTTAAACCCACAAAATGGGCTTCATACCCCAACAGAGAAGATCCAGTAGCACATGGTGTGCGTCTGCTCCATGTAGGATCAACACAGTCAAGCGTATATGCAGAAATTCCCTGTTCGACTCGGGGCTGGGCCATCATCAACTTGCTTTGGTTTTTTTAGGGGGTTGACATTCCGCAGTTATTTTCTCAAGAAATGCAAACCTGCATTCATCCTCCTTGTGGTCTATTTCTTTCCAAATCCAATCAACTTCAATTCCATCTTCTTGTCCAGCGGAACAACATTGTAATTTCCAGATAGATACCTCACAACATGCATTCAGTTAAACCCACAAAATGAGCTTCATACCCCAACAGAGAAGACCCAGTAGCATATGGTGTGCATCTGCTTCATGTAGTATGGACTCAACCATGTCTGCAGAAGGTCCCCTGTTCGATTCGGGGCTGGGCCATCAGGTGGTTAATTACATTTTTTTTTGGGCTGATGTTCCGCAGTCATTTTCTCCAGAACTGATCCATCTGCTTGTGTTTTAATTTCCTTCCAATCTATCTTCTTGTTCAGCCATTAGGAAAAACAACATTGTGATTTCTACTTGGATTGATTTGATGTGCTCAATACCATCCAGGTAAGGTGTATACTCTGACAAAAAAGACCCAGTAGCACACGGTGTGCATCTGCTTCACCTTGCCATTTTTGGAATTGTGTTTCAGCAGAGGTCCCCTGTTCGACTCGGGGCTGGGTCATTATGAGAAAAATTCCAAACTTTTTTCTTTTGGTTGATGTTCCGCAGTTATTTTCTCAAGAATTGTACACCCTTTTCATGGATCCAGCTGTAGTCTGGCTTTGTATCTATCTATCTATCCTTTTGTGCTTCAGATATTCAGATTTCCATCCTGTGTCGGTTCAATTGAGAGAACAATGTTATGATTTCTGGAATCTGGATAGATGACCGGCAGTCAACCCAGAGGGAGTGTGTGTTGAATTTCACCTCACTCAACCAGAGTCCAAACTAGTGATACAAGACCCAGTGGCATGTGGAATGCATCTGCTTCACCTTCAATTGGATTGAAGTCTGTTTCAGCAGAAGATCCCTGTTCAACTTGGGGCTGGGCCATGTTGAATCTGGCTGTGGCTTTTTTTTTTGGCTGATGTTCCATGGTTATTTTCTCCAGAAATGTACACCCTTTTCATGGATCCAGCTTTGGTTTATTTTCCTTCCAATCTATCTTCTCTGTCATTAGCAAGAACAACATTGCAATTTCTACTTGGATAGATTTGGCTCGACCTCCAATGTGTTAATTAAACCCCACCCAAGTGAGTTTATACCCTAACATACAAGACCCAGTAGCACATGGTGTGCATCTGCTTCATGTAGCATGGACTCAACCATGTCTGCAGAAGGTCCCCTGTTCGATTCGGGGCTGGGCCATCAGGTGGTTAATTACATTTTTTTTTGGGCTGATGTTCTGCAGTCATTTTCTCCAGAACTGATCCATCTGCTTGTGTTTTAATTTCCTTCCAATCTATCTTCTTGTTCAGCCATTAGGAAAAACAACATTGTGATTTCTACTTGGATTAATTTGATGTGTGCTCAATACCATCCAAGTAAGGTGTATACTCTGACAAAAAAGACCCAGTAGCACACAGTGTGCATCTGCTTCACCTTGCCTTTTTTGAAATTGTGTTCAGCAGAAGATCCCCTGTTCGACTCGGGGCTGGGTCATTTCCCTGTGTTTCAAATTTTTTAATTTTAATTTTTTTCGGTGTTCATGTGCCACCCACCCACTGCCAAGTGAGGATCAGACCCCAATAGAGAAGACCCAGTGGCACATGGTGTGCATCTGCTTCACTTGGACCTGTGTCAAGTTGTGTCTGCAGAAGGTCTCCTGTTCGACTCAGGCTGGGCCATCAAGTGGTTGATTACATTTTTTTTTGGGCTGATGTTCCGCAGTCATTTTCTCTAGAACTGTACACCCTTTTCACGGATCCAGCTTTGGTTTACAGTAATTTCCTTCCAAAGTATCTTCTTGTCCAGCCATCAGAAAGAACCGACATTGTAATTTCTAGATAGATGGATTTGGCTCGACCTCACAACATGTGTTTCATTAATCCCCACCAAGTGAGAGCTATGCAAGACCCAGTAGCACATGGTGTGCATCTGCTTCACCTTGCCTTGTTTTGAAATTGTCTTCAGCAGAAGGTCCCCTGTTTGACTCAGGGCTGGGTCATTTGATGCTGCTTTCGAAAGATTTTTTTTGGGTTTCGTTGTTTAGTGTGCTGCATTCTTTTCTTTCTCCACCGATCCCATCCAATTCATCTGAACATCAAAATCAGTTTCAGAGTTGATGGAGGAGAGAGAATCTAACTGAAAGTTCACAGACAGTTGACTATGTGTGCAGTGGTTGCTTCACACCCTCACATCCTTATACTCTACCTATATATTCTGAGATCAGGCCCAGTGGCACATGGTGTGCATCTGCTTTGCCTAGATTTTGGTTGAAATCCATTTCAGCAGAAGTCCCCTGTTTGACTCGGGGCTGGGCCATTAGAGCATATTTGCAACGCCCAAAATCCGTGTCCAGATTTCTGCGATCACCCATCACTTTTAGCCGGCGGATGTGATGATGTGACCCCTGCCTATGTTTCCGGAGCTCAGATCTCTGAAAAATTCGATTGTGAGGCTATGAAAAGTGGAGGAGTACATCGAAACTTTATCTATGTGTCAGTGTTGAAAAAAAAAACGGGCCTTCCAGGACGTATATTGCAAGTTTTGGGCAACGTCCAGGTCAGTGCTTCTATTTTGGGTGTCACCACTTTTAAGCGATCACTCATCACTTTTGGGATCAAAAGGTGATTTTGGGGCTGCAAATATGCTCTATTATCTCGTCCTGGCTTAATTTTTTTCTGGCTGATGTTCCACAGTTGTTTTCTCCAGAACTGTACACCCCTTTCATGGATCCAGCTTTGGTTTACAGTAATTTCCTTCCAACCTATCTTCTTGTCCAGCCATTAGGAAGAACAACATTTCTACTTAGATTTAGCTCGACCTCGCAATTTGTGTTCAGTTAAACCTTGGTTAAACCCCACAAAATGAGCTTCATACCCCAATATACAAGACCCAGTAGCACATGGTGTGCACCTGCTTCACCTTGAGAGCTATGGCAGCTTTTCTGCAGGAGGTCCCCTGTTCGACTCAGGGCTGGGTCATTTCCTGTGTTTCAAATTTTTTAATTTTAATTTTTTTCGGTGTTTAGTAGTTTAGTGTGCCACCCACCCACTGCCAAGTGAGATTTATCCTCTAACATAGCAGACCTAGTAGCACATGGTGTGCATCTGCTTCATGTTTCAAGTGTTTTCCAGTGTTTCTGCAGGAGGTCCCCTGTTTGCCTCGGGGCTGGGTCATTATTTGGCATTTCCTTCTTTTTTTTTCTTTCTGGTTGGTGTGCTGCATTCTTTTCTTTCTCCAGCACCCAGCCCATCCAAGGCCAACCCATCCAAATGTTGAACTCAGTTTAGATTTTTGGATTTTCGAGCTGGGGAGGTGAGGGAGAGAGAGAATCAACTTGAACACTCCGACTCCACTAGATAAACTTTACCTTGAAGTACCTTCTTTCAATCCTCCACAAAAACAAGTTCACATTCTGAGGTGTAAGACCCAGTAGCACATGGAATGCATCTGCTGTGTTTAATACGTAAAGTTGGTATCAAAGCAGAGGGTCCCTGTTCGACTCGGGGCTGGGCCATTGCACCATTCTGCACCCTTTTTTGCCTTGCATTTCTTGTATACCTTTGCCTCCATCCAGTGGTGGTTCAACTTGCCATTTTTTTTTGTTGGTTTAGGTTCTTGCAGTTTCCGTAGATATTTGAGTATGTACCAAATGATCAAAGTGGTTTGACTGTTGACCTCACAACATGCATTCAATTTCAACCTCCAGGCAACATTTATACCCCAACATATAAGACCCAGTAGCACTTGGCGTGCATCTGCTTCATATACAATATGTGGTGTGCGTTTGCAGAAGGTCCCCCATTCGACTCGGGGCTGGGTCATAATCAGGCTGTTATTATTTGGCATTTAAATTTTTTTTTTCTTCTGGTTGACGTTCCACAGTTATTTTCTCAAGAGTGCAAACTTCCATCCAACCTTGGTTTACATCATACCTTTTCAACATTATTTATTTCTATCTTCGTGTTCAGCCATTACTGCAAATTTTGAAAAGAGATCACCCAATGATCATAGTGGTTTAACGGTTGACCTCGAAATGTGTGTTCAATTAAACCCCACCCAAGTGAGCTTCATACCCCAACATGCAAGACCCAGTAGCACGTGGTGTGCATCTGCTTCATGTGACAGATATATTCTGACTCCTCTGCAGGAGGTCCCCTGTTCGACTTGGGGCTGGGTCTTTAAAGCTAGTGCGATAATCTCTTTTTTGGGTTTAGTTGTTTAGTATGACAATGCTGGGTTCTTTTCTTTCTCTGGCACCGATCCCACTAACGTTTGGACTCCACTAGATTATAGATATTAGTTGAGCCCCCCCACAGTCACACAAGACACGAGGAGGGCTGTACAATGATTGGTTCACAATGCACATCCCCTCACACCCTTATACTCTACCTGTATACTCTGAGATCAGGCTCAGTAGCACATGGTGTGCATCTACTTCCCCTTGCTTATTTTGAAATTGTGTTCAGCAGAAGTCCCCTGTTCGACTCTGGGCTGGGCCATCAATAACTTGCTTTGATTTTTTCTGGGGTTTGATATTCCACGGTCATTTTCTCCGGAACTGTGTACCCACTCATCCATCCATCCAACCTTGGTTTACATGATTCCTTTTCAACATTATTTATTTCTATCTTCGTGTTCAGCCATTACTGCAAATTTGAAAAGAGATCACCAAATGACCAAAGTGGTTCAACGGTCGACCTCGCAACATGTGTTCAATTAAACCCCACCCAAGTGAGCTTCATACCCCAATATACAAGACTCAGTAGCACATGGCGTGCATCTGCTTCATGTACAGTATGTTTGACATGTGTTAGAACTTAGCAGAAGGTCCCCTGTTCAACTTGGGGCTGGGTCACTATAATTTCTATAGGTTTTTTTTGGGTTTAGCAGTTTAGTGTGCTGCATTCTTTTCCTTCTCCAGCACCAAGCCCATCCAAATGTTGAACTCAGTTTGGATGTCAGATTTTGGATTTTGGATTTTGGAGCTGGAGGGGTGCGGGAGAGAGAGAGTAGACTCGAACAAGCTCAGACTCCACTAGATAAACTCTATCTTCTTTCAATTCTACCTACTCAAGCAAGATTCATATAAGACCTGGTAGCATGTGGTATGTGTCTGCTTCACCTTGCTGGTTCCTGCCACTTCCAGCAGAAGGTCCTCTGTTCAACTTGGGGCTGGGTCATTGAAGGAACTGGACATTTTTTCTTTTGGTTAGCTTTTCTCCTGCACTGAGCCCATTCACCTTTCATCCATCTGAACATCTCTTAATTTTGGAGTTGGTCGACCTCACTGAAGGGGATGTGTGTTGAATTTCACCCCGCTCAACCACAGTCCAAACTAATGATGTGAGACCCAGTGGCATGTGGCATACATCTGCTTCACCTTCATTGTAGGAAGAGTTTTTCTGCAGAAGTCCCCGTTCAACTCGGGGCTGGGTCATTGTTTGGTGTTTTCCGACTTTTTTGTTGGCTAATGTCTCGAATTCATTTGTCAAGCAATCTATCCAACCATTCTATCTTCTCGTTTAGCCATTACATAGGAAGAACAACATTGTAATTTCCAGATAGATGGATTTGGCTCGACCTCCAATGTGTTAATTAAACCCCACCCAAGTGAGTTTATACCCTAACATAGAAGACCCAGTAGCACAGGGTGTGCATCTGCTTCATGTAGAGTACATTTGACCAGGTCTGCAGAAGGTCCCCTGTTTGACTTGGGGCTGGGTCATGGTCTTCCATTTACGCCTCCCCTTTTTTGCTTGCATTCTCTTTCCTCAAGCCTTTTCATCCATCTAACTGTGGTTTGACTTGCCATCTTTTTTTGTTGGCACAGGTTATTGCAGTTTCCGTAGATATTTGAGTATGTACCAAATGATAAAGTGGTTTGACGATTGACCTCAAGATGTGCATTCAACTTCAACCCCACCCAAGTGAGCTTCATTCCCCAACACAGATGACCTAGTAGCACAGGATGTGCATCTGCTTCATGTGGTTACTTCCATGGGATCAGCAGAAGGTCCCCTGTTTGACTTGGGGCTGGGTCATTATTTGGCATTTCTATTTTTTTTTTTTTGGTTGGTGTGCTGGATTCTTTTCTTTCTCCAGCACCAAGCCTATCCATGGCCAACCTATCCAAACATTAAACTCAGTTTAGATTTTTGGATTTTGGAGCTGGGAGGTGCAAGAGAGAGAGAGAGTCAACTTGCTCAGACTCCACTAGATAAACTCTGCCTTGAAGTACCTTCTTTCAATCCTCCACAAAAACAAATTCACATTCTGAGGTGTAAGACCCAGTAGCACATGGAATGCATCTGCTATGTTTAATACGTAAAGTTGGTATCAAAGCAGAGGGTCCCTGTTCGACTCCGGGCTGGGTCATAAGTCAGAGAGGCGGATATGTACCTTTTTTTTTTAGTTTAATAGTCTAGTATGCTGGGTGGGTTCTTTTCTTTCTCCAGCACAGATCCCAACATTCGGACTCCACTAGATATCAGTTGAACCCCCCCACCAGTAATACAATAGCAATACACAAGGAGGGCTGTACAATGGTTGGTTCACAGTGCACATTCCCTGACATTCTTATACTCTACCTGTATATTCTGAGATCAGGCCCAGGAGCACATAGTGTGCATCTGCTTCACCTTCATGGTATTCAGATTTTCAAAGCAGAACTCAGTCTCTGTTCAACTCGGGGCTGGGCCATGGTCCATTAGTTCCCCTTTTTTAATCCCATTTCTTGCACACCTTTTCATCTTTCCAGCTGTGGTTCAACTTGCTATCTATCCTTTGTTGAGCCAGTTACAAGAACAATATGATGCAGTTTCTGGACAGGTGGCTGGCAGTGCAACCACAGTCCAAACTAGTGACAGAAGACCTAGTGGCATATGACATGTATCTGCCTCGCATCTAAAGGTTTTTCCTCTGATTTTAGCAGAAGTTCTCCGTCTGATTCAGACCAGGTTGTCCTGTATCAGAAGTGCATCATTTTTGTTTTGTTCTCATTTCAGGTGGTGTTGGACATCTGAGCAGTGGATTCTACTTACCTTTGATTCCAATGTAAATCATATGGAATCAAACAGCCTTTGGTTCAAATCTCCCCTACTGTAACCTTGCTTCTTAATGAGACAACTCTGCCTAATTTTAGTCTTTCTCAAGCAAGGGTCATATTTTCTTATAGACCCAGTGGCATGTGGAACGGATCTGCTTCAACTTCATTATTTTGTAGCCATTTCAGTCAGGGATGGGTCCTATATTATGGATGTGCTTTCAATTTTTCCCCCTTGGTCCAGTTCAAATAGTTGTCAAGATATAAGGAGGACCAAAATTATAATATGAGATTTAAGTCACTTGCCAGTAAGGAGCTGAAAGGCAAATCCAGGGTAAAGAGACAATAATAAACTAAACTGGTCCAACTCCACAAGGCAGGAAGGAGCTCAAGGACAAATCAAGGGTACAAGACTAATAAAGAGGACCCATTAGTACATAAAAGCAAGAGGTCCCCGATAGATTTGGGGCTGGGTCATTCTCTCGAGGAGTGATCATTTTTGTTAAACATGGTGTTCATCTCTTTCCCTGAAAAATCTACCCATATCCCTCCGACTTTGCATCAAATTTCTGCCATCTGTTCTCTCCATTCGAAGCAGCATCAGGTTGGGGGAGGACCAAAATGTGAATTGAACAAATGACCAGTTCAACCTCATGCAAACTGTCCCACCTCAGTCATTCAAAGTTGAGAAGTAAAATTAGTAGCATAATGTGAGTCTGCTCCTCTTGCGGGACCTTTAAGAAGGCATCAAAGCAGAAAGTCTCCATTCAATTCGGGGCTGGGTCATTCAGGTGATTTTCTGGATCCTCAATTTTTTGGCGTGCTCTGAAGGTCAATAAATGGGTTCTGCATTCATTGCAGAATACATCGTCAAATATTACATGCAGAGGATCCATTCAATCGCACAAGCTCGATTGAACCGCTTGAATTATTAACCTTGTTGCCGCTCCATGTCCGAGAAGCCCGGATCTACGTTGAACTGCGTTCACGAGATAGCCTATTGGTCCTTTTTGCCCCCAGAAATTAGAAGGTGGGAGTTGTAAGGAATTCTGTGCCTCTTACAACTTCTTCTCGCAGTTCTGACTCCACAAGAAGGGGCGGTGCACAGCGGAAGGATTCACACAGTGTTCA